ACACGCTGCTGTCTGATTGTCTGATTGAATATTTTTTCGTATTCATTTTTGGCGTTCACTTTTCTTGTTTCTGCTAGCGCTCGCAATTTTTGCTGCCAACCGACAACCGACACTTGAACGCCTTTTTCTATGGCATGTTTTGCACTTTATGCATATTTTTTGCATTTATTGTGGTGCCAAAACATGTAGACGAGCCGGCTCGAGGAGTGCTGGTTGCTGTATATAGACCCAGGCTAATGTATGCTCGTCACGTTTAGCCACTTGTGTCCTGCGGGCTTCAAGCTGCCGTGTCTTCACATTCACTTAGTGGCAAGTCTTGGCTAAACCTCTTTTGCATATTGATACGCTTACATATGAAATCCACTTGCTATCCTTGCCCGAACCTGTCTTTCGCTTTGTAATGGAAATTAACAGCAGTTTATGTTGGGCCATTGCAAGCACATGAAATTTACCAGCATAGATATGAGCTAATAATACGCATGGCATAAATTACGTGCAGGCAAAAACTAGAAAACATTTTAGTTTAGCTCAACAAACTTAATTTGCTTTAATAACCAAATTGAAAAACAAATCTAATCGAGTACAACCGACTCCGTGATACTCTGTTCATAGTAAATAAAAATTGAAATTCCATAGTAAGAAAAAGCATTCCATAGTTTTTCCACTTTGTGTACAGACCATAAAAAACACAGAAATTGCATTGAGAATTCTGGGATGTTCATGCACTGCTTGCAAAAAACACGGTGCGTGTTCAAGTGCAGTTTTGCACTGCTTGCTTTGCTGGCGAACTAAGCAAATTAAAAGAAACGCTTGAAAACACAAAATTTAATTGCGGCAGCAACTGCATTTAAAGACCGTTAAAACTGACCAACCCCAATTCGTGGCAAAGCGCAAACATTTTTTTGTAGAATTTTGTAGCGAAATTGTTTGCTCGCGGGCCATAAAAATGCACATAAAAAACCAAACCGAACACCAAAAAAAAATACACAGCCAACAACCCTCGGCGTAACAATTTCGCTTGGCACGCAAAGCAATTAAAGCAACAACGAAAACTTTTGGCGCCCAAATGGCGCACGAAGGCGCCTCAATGTCAGCTCATTAAAGTTTAGTGGGCGTATTTTGCATATAGGCAAAACATGCTAGACGCAAGTGCAGCCAGCGGGAGGGGGGTGAGTCCTCAACTGGCAGCTGATAGACTGTTTGTTGCTGTCACGCCCACACACGAAAAAACTTTCGCCACTTTTCAAGGCGAGCAACAAGACAGCAAGACGCAAACTTTTTTGCTAGCGATAAATCAAATTTTTTGCTGGTTAACACGTTCGCTTAAATTAAGTTGAACATTAGCACAGCCCACAGGACTGAGAGGTGTGAGAGACCTAAGAGAACGCGTCCAAAAACCGCGCTCAAATGTTATGTAATTTAAAGCATTTCCTGGCAAAAGGGGGTTCGAGAAGCAGGAAATGCCTAAATAAGGCGGCGGCGTCGGCGGCGGCGTCGCTGCTGACAGCTAATGAAAATATTTGGCAACTTTGCTCGAACGAGCCTCAAGTTTGAGCCTTGAGGTAGGTTTGGTAATTAGCGCAGTGCATATTTTAGGCGGGTTTTCGTTTTGCACCAAAGGAAAAGCGATGAAAGCAAAAGAAATGAGCTTGCAAAGTGTTTGCTCAGCTGAAATGCATAAAAATTTAGGGAAATTGGATTAGTTTGCCTTGCAATCATAATTTTTTTTGTTAAAAAGAAAAATGGCTTAATAACGGAAATATTCACAGGGAATAATTTAAGGAAGTTATACAGGAATTTGAAGGGAAATTATTTAGCCACAAATTTAAGGAATTTAAATAAAATGAGCAAAATAATAAAAATTTTAAAATGATTTTATAAATTATTTATACTTTACCTAGTATAAATTATTAAGAGACGTTACTTGTGGAAATGTGTGTAGCATATAGATTATAAATGAGCTAATTGTCCCGAGTCCAGAAGAACGTGTCTTATTTAGTTGCAGGCATTTGATATATTCTTTTAATAACCTTTGGAAAACTTGGAATGATCTACTACTTTTACCGACGTTTTATTAAAAAGTTAAGCTGCAAAACTAAAAAAAGTATATTTTGATTCTTCGCATTTTTCTGTATGTACGACAAGTAATTTTCTCTTCTAATTGTATGTTGTTCATACAGCACTATCATGACAAGAGTGTAAGAAATCACAGAAGGTTTGTATTTTGCAACACTATCATTGCAAGTTTACAGGTAACAACTAGACTAGGGTCTGGAGGACATCTTCCTATTTGTTCTATCAAAACTGACCAGGTATACTTTATATAGGCAACTGTGGAAACTACAAATTTGAAAGTTTTAAAAAATCTGTACCATTTAAACTAAACTTCGTGCATATCTTAAATAATTTTACCCTTCTTTTAAAATTTAAATTTTTAAAGTATGTGCTATCTTCTTTGAAATATTCCACTAATATTTAATTCGAGTGTCGTCACATTTTGTGGCGTTATCTAACACTACAACACACGAAGGCTGCTTTGTCCTCTGCGACCATTGGCAGGTCAACAGCCCATTTCATGTGATTACTCACAAAACGCAGCTCAGGGGGAGCATCTATCTAAACGCACACACACAAAACGACGCCCATGCAGTAGATCCCCAATCAGAGCTGATCCACACACCCAACCCACTCCCCCCTCCACACTATGAGCACCTCAGGGCGCCGCCTGCTTGTTATTGTCATTGTTATCAACAATGTCAGCGCAAACAGCAACAACTACAACAATAAATAGAGGCCCATAGCTACAGCATGGCCTGATGAGGGGTTGCGCTGGATGTGTGGGACACGTCTCATGTGGGCATATGTTAAACATTTTGACACTTTTGCGCACGGTTGAGCCTCTGCCGCCGACGCCGACGCCGATGACGACGCGGACGCCAACGCTGAACTTTGACAATCTAATGGAACTTGATGAGGGTACATTTCCGCTTTAGCCAAAATTGCAACAACAACAAGAGCTAAAGCTACCTCTTGCAGATTTATTTGAATCACAAAATAAAAGAAAAGCTAGTTGCCCAAATTTGTAACAATTTGCAGTTGTTGTTGTGGACTTCTCCACCTGTTTTCCAGCTGGGCAGGTGCATTGGTCGCCGATAATCAACGAACTGAAATCAGCGACTGTCCGAATATTGTTACGTTTTGTGTGATGCCAACTGCACTTGCAAAAGGGGGTTGGTTTTTTTGCGGGGTAGTTTAAACCAAACCGCATTAGCGGTCGTCACTGAGCTTTGCTGTGGCCTCATGCGCAGTTAACGCCAGATTGGAGTTCGCTGGCGAGCGTGGGCTCAACCGGAGCCGGGGCCTGTTGGCGGAGGGTTTTAGGAACTGCTAACGGGGCAGCAACTGAAACTTAATTAAGTGTTGGTTGAAAGCCCTTTGGGCCAGTTCCAGGGCAAATATTGCTCAGCGGTTGTCGATAAATGTTAACTGTTTTCGGTTTTTGCGGACTGCAGTTGATTTTATTGGACTTTTAACGATACAGCGAATAGGCGACTATAGACTATCTGGCTAGTAAATAAATTTAAATTCCTTTTTTTAATATACTCTTCTTTCAAACTGTTAATAGAATACCTACAGAAACCCAAATCTATTTCGGTTTTAAAGCTTTAAATTAATGAAAATTTAAGATACACATGAAAAACTGTCTGCGTCATACAAAATATAAGAGACATTTTATAATATTGTGTAATACTGTTTTAAGATTTCTTAAAGAATGGTAGATTTTTGAAAAATGTGTTCCTATTCCCAAAGGGTTTTAATGCGTATACATTTATTCCGCTAAATTCCGAATATAAATGTTACACACAGAACTCAATTATAATCAAGGCAATATATTTTTCAGTGATCCATTTATTAATCCATTTTTATTAATAACTTATGCTGTTTTAATTGCGACAGATTTTTTTTATTTTTTATAAATAATAAGACTAATCTAAAGAGGAGCAAAAGTACAAAATGTAAAGCAATCATAAGCTTGACAAGGACAAGGCTGCAAGCCAACATAATATAGAAACATCTAGGAACCACAACATGAACATACAACGTTTGCGGATAAACACCCAAATACAGACAAATAAAATAGCCTGTTACACAAAAATGGATTGCACCCTCGTTTTGTGTATGCGGGGTATAATTATGCTTGTTAAGACTTTGCCGCTAAAATACCCGCGAGACACACAGGCGCCCTATTTTATGTACTATACAACAATTCCCAAGCAGACATCCGCTGGGACAACGCATGGCAATTGGTTTAGCTGCTGGTGGGGGGGTGTGGAGCCCCCCTTTCCCCTTAGCAACGCTGCCAATTTTCGTTATCATTTTCAAATTGAAAATTTGCGTAATCACATTTTGAGTGAAAATCGTTTTACAAATGAAATTAAATCGATTTTTTTAGCCAGACACTTAAAGCGAGATACGAATCCTTGGCAAAAGTTACGCATACGCCGCGTTTGGCGTTTACATTATGGCTTCTCATATCCGCTTCCGTTGCCACTTCCACTTCCGTCTCACACAACTTTAAGTCCGCTGCACTTTTGCGTGAAATATGCGGCGACAACTTCTTCTGTCTGCTGTCTTTATATTTTTTTTAAGTGTCGACCCGATGCATTTCAAAGCCCCATCAACGTCATCAAATCGTTAGTCAAATACGCAAAAACTTTTTTGGTTTTAGAAGAAGGGAAAAGGAGTTGGATAGGACGGTGGTGGTAGGAGGTGAGGGGTATTTTACTTGGCAATAAAAATGATGAAGTGCTGTGTGAGTACTTCAAAGTGCAGCCCAGCTTACATACTTATGGAGAAACTGACTGAGCTCGAGAGTAAAAATATGAGCGTCGCCTGCAGTTGGTGTCTCTTGGATCTAATACAGGGTATATCTGTTTTGTCAGGTTTTAGTACTTAATATAGATATATATATTTTCTTTTTGCATCAAGTGAGCCTTGATTGTTCACTTAAAAGCAGTTGATTTTAACTGATAGTTTTCCAATCTGAGAAATTCCTAAAGGAATTACTATATCATGAACTACGCCCAACTACTTTGCTTTCTAGTCCTCGTTACAGGAATAATAGCTCCCTTTAATAAAATCATTCGGTCACGTAAGTAATATATTTATAATATATAATATATCAAAGTTTCAAAATTTCATTGTCTATACTTCAGCCCAATGCCTGTTTATGGCTGATAAAGGACCCTGTGATGAAAGGGTCCGAGTTTTTGGCTATGATTACCATACCAATCGCTGTGTTCATTTCTATTACGGTGGCTGTGGGGGCAATCCAAATCGTTTTGCTACAAGAAAGGAATGCATGGACAAATGCTTTGTGGAGAATGCAGAGGGACAGGACCTAGAAGAAGATGCTAAGTTTAATACGTACTACAAAGATGATTTTTAAAGTGAAAAATTCCACTGATTCGATTGAAGAACCAGAATAAAACCATATATGCAACAATTCATGTAGTTTTTGCAACTTTGTAGATATTAATATTAAATTTGACATTTTCTTAAAGGTTTTTTTTTTATTAAAAATGTATTTTATTTGTATTAGTAATATATACATATTACAATAAAGGTATATATATTAGAAATGTAAATTGAAAATATGCGATGCCCTAAAAAGATACTTAAAGGTCAATTATATTTCTTAGTTTGTTCACTATTGGGAAAAAATTTAAAAATATATTTAAGTATATATATATGTATGCTTACATTTTTGCAGTCAGATGAACCTTATTCAATAATTAATGTGGCATATGCGATTATACTTCCCTGATTATAAACGATTAATATTTTCAAGGGTATATCAGCGTCGGTTCGTCTTTTTCTGCACTTGTTACTCTACTATGATACTACTATATGTGCAATCGCATAATTTCAGTTGAACTTTCTTTTGCCCCGTCGAGTTGCAAGTAATGCGTTTTCTTTTGACGTCGACTGTCTGCATGACTCTCTGTCTCCCTCCCACTCTCTGTCTGTGTCTCGTGCTGCCACTCTGTGTAGCCGTCTGTTTGCTGCCAATCTGAGCGGCCATTAAGTCAAACAGCTCGAGCAATTTTATCTGCTGCAGCTGAGTCTTCACTGCATTCAGTGCTGCGGCGTGTTTCTAGCATCTTATTTTGCTTCAAGACCCTTGACAATTTTTGACATGTAATTTGCTCTGCTGGCGCTAAATAAGTTAACTCCAGACATAACGCGGCCATTCTTTAGCTGTTAATCAACCATTTTATTTATGAGAGATTATTTGAAATAAGAGAGCGTATTGCGTCGGTGCAAGTGAGAGAGCAAGAGTGATCGTCACGCTACATATGTGAATGTATAGTTGAACTGCTCGCGCAAGTGATCGACTCGCAAGGAGAGAGTGAGACAGCTGCAGACAGCACACTTAACGAAAGTGAGTCAATTTTATTGGTAGAGAGATATTTATTCCATGATTTAACAAGATGGCTTCAAAAACATGGCAGCCATTACTTTTTATACTCTGTTCGCAAAGTGAACATGTTTTATTAGTATTTATTAGTATTAGTATATTGATATTTTTATTATTTTTTTCTTGCTGCCAAAGCAATTAGTATGTTTGTACACGTGATCGCACAAATGGAATTAACACATTTGTATCTATTAATTATATTAATTTTTATTTATTAAGTTTGTATATTTATCACTTTTTCCTTTATGAGCTCGCCCCCAAAAACTAAAAAGTAAAAGTTTAAAATCCGCTATTTTGTATTTTAATTCCACTGTAAACAGTCGCTCCTATTGTACTGTTAACAAGCCTAAATATATTTTTATATTACATTTTTACCCCTTGAGTTACCCCTAGACTGAAAATGTTGCGTTGGCACCCAACAGCCGCAAGTTCCAAGCACCCCCAACTTGGTCACCTCAACGAGCCATTTATTTTAATTTATCGCATTTTTAACAACCCGCACATAACTTCATGCATTTTATTGGGCAGTCCAGAGACCTTCTTTCTCCATGCCATTTACCCACACCAATCCTTATAATACCAGATACACCTGATGCTGCACGAATGGGCCAAGAATTTACCTCAAGCTGCTCATTAGCCATAAAAATAGTCACATCCACACGCAGGCCAAGTGGCAATTAAATGCCGAAAAACAACATAATCAGTCATAAAAGTAAACCCTGACCCCGGCCCCAAAAGAGCAACGTGAGCGGCAAGTTAAGTAGCAGGGCGAATTGAAGTGGGATGTTGCGAATGTTGCGGAAGTGTCACATGACCAGCTGGGCATATTTGGCTAGGGTTCGCATTTAACTAGATCTCTGGGTGTGAGCGGCTTTTATGTTGCTAATTAAGCCACAAATGCCTTTCGAGCCTCTAATGAGCGAACACTCTGACAAAGAGGCGCAAATAAAGCCAACACTTTTTCCTAAAATACTTTAGCTTTAATATACTAAAATGTGGCATTTGCCAAAACTGATCCTAATTAGCAGTAAATTTAGCAATTGCCCAATTCTAGTCGCAGGTATTGCCAGCTATCTATGCAAGGGGCGAGATCCGATATTGCCCTCGCAAATCTATCACTTATTAAAAAAAATAACCGTGAGATTGACATCAATTGGCCTGCTCTGGAGTAGCGATAGACATGGGTTCCGCTTGCTCACGTAATATAAAAAGTTTCTATAAAAAGAGTAAAATATAAATTTAATCACTATTCATATACTAAATGATGAATATATAAAGAACTGGTAAAGAAGAAAGTTTACTGTTTTATTATTTCAATTTGTTTTAAAAAAATATCATTTAGAGCACAGTCAATGTTTCCAAATTTATGTAAATTAACATAATATTGAGATATAATGTGAAGAAATAATTAACTTATGCAAACTCACACCAAATGGATTAAATATTCCTCAAACTTGTATTTTCTCAAGAATCTGTGCATTACACATATAAAAAATGTCAGTTTATTAATTATGCAGAAGTAAATTATGGGAGAATATTTATCTACTGTAAGATCATATTTTCTCTTGTGTTTTTCAAGGACATAAAAACCCATTTTATTTCAATTATGATCAGTAGAAACTTATGTTTTTAATAATTTTTCTTTGAACGGAACGACCTTTTTTTCTTGACCTAATATTTTTTTATTCACTTGCTAAGCCTCAATTAAGTTCGTGATTTTTGACTGTTTAAGAATATTTTTATGATTTGAAACGTGACCCGCAGCTCAGAATTTGAAATCGAATTCCATTACGAATCATTTACATAATGCCGAGCTTCTCAGTATATGTAAATTGCCTAGAATGACATTTAAATCAGATTTGGCTTGATAATTGGTCTTAGGATGTTAAATAGACCGAAATCGAAAGCCTTTTTAGGTTTAGGATGTCTATATGGTTATCATAAATGGGATGCTGTTAAATACTTTAGTATTTTCCATTTCTATTGCAAATAGTTATTTAATTCCATGTTTAACTCAACACAACTTGTCTCAATTTCCATGAAAACTCAATTAAATCGCTTTTAATAGCCCAGTATTTACATATTTTCAGATCCAACTCAACTTCAGTCACTTAACCAACTCTACTTTATTTATTTGCGCATCAATTCGTGTCTCAATATAAGTCCAAGCTGTGAAAACTCTGACACAAAACACACGCACGCACACAGTGAAACATATTTCACAATAAATTAAATTTCATAGGCTCTTGAATTGTTGCTCAAAAAATTTAAATAGGTCAAACATGCATTTAATTTCCGCACGAATGAAATGAATTTGTCTGCTCGACCTGCCTACAGCTGTCAGCTACATAAAAACACACAAACACACACATACACAGACACAGGCAGCCACACCCACACTGCCCACACCGCCCACAAAGGACACGTAAGACTGGCTGATTCACCTGCTGTGTGTTTGTTGCTCGGCATTTGCACACTTAACTTCTTTGGCTCCATTAAAATCTTGCTAAATAAATATTTAATGCGTGAACAACTGGGAAATCGAGGAGCTGCTACACAAAATGTATGTATATATATAAAGACGGCCAGACCTGAAGTCGGCGCAACAGCCTGCCAGATGATTTATGAGCTACACTTGCGCCATGGGTGGAGGGGTGGGGGACCAGGGAGTCGTGGCAGCTCCTGGACCGCTTTTTGTGCCTTGGCTAATGGCTCATAATTGATTTTTATGCCTATTGTTTGGCCCTGTCCCTTTAAATGGCGCGTTGTTAATTCGACGCACTGCAGCAGCAGTTGCCATGTTGGCCATATTAGCGGGCGCAGCGGGTGGATTGGGTGGAGTATATTAAAATCTTATAATTTCAGCCACATTTGAAGTGTGCATAAATTAATGTTAATGCCACAAAATTTGCGTTTAATGATGCAGCTGCAATTGGTCAATGGCCCGAATTGCGATTTGGCTTACTCTTAAATAGTTTTGGATATGGTTATATGTAGCTCATGGCAGTGGCTATATGAAAATTTAAATATCAAAAAGACATAGTTTGTAAAGAAGATATAAAAGTAAAAATTAAATTAAGGGTCTGTTATTTTCATATTCATATTCTTATACTTATCTTTAATTTTATTCTTATTATTGACGTTATATTTTATATTTTAATATATTAATACTTTATATTATTAACTTGTAGAAGTACTCTCAGAATATCTTTTATTTTTTTATTCTCACAGAATTGTGTTTAATTTTTGCCTACATTTGCAAATGTCTCTTCTCCATCTCGTTGACTTTCCATATAACCATACAAGAGCCCCTTATCAGAAAGAACACCCCAACTTGATTTAATAATTCTAATAAGAAGCAGGGCAACAACATTCCCCACACCACCCACGCATCTCTCTCTACCCCACGAACAGTCTGTTGCCTTCAACTAAAATCTAAATAAATAAATGTCCGTTTACGACACCTATGTACGTGGCCATCTGCAGGCAGGACAGGGCAGGCTAGACCCAACCGGACCAGACCAGACTCGATTCGACCCGATCTGCACAGACTTGGACCCGGACGTAGCGCCCACCTTTGGCATGTGAAGCATCTCATGCATTCGCTTTAATAATGCGCATAAATTGGTAGACCCCTCCCTGGTCCTTTTGACTGCTTCATTCCCTTGCTCCAGACATTCGGACAGAGTTGAATGGTGGCAGCTCCTCGGACACGCGTGCGTTCATTTCATTTGGCTTTTGTTTGACTTGGCCCCGTCCATCTCTAGCTCAAACTCCAACTCCCATTCCAACGGCAGCTTCGACCCCGACTTCCCTAGCGCTGTCTGTTTAGCTGGGCATTGTTTTTGGCGCCTTCTCTTGCCACCCATCCTCCGACTGACCCCTAGCATATTTTTGCCAGCGTTTAATCTTTAATTTGCCCACTACTGTGTGGGCTACCCTTCGACCCCGTGCAGTCTGCCGCCTGCCTGTCTATCCAACTGTCGGCTGCCAGCTCCGTGGCTCGCCTTTGTCCCCCAGCTCAA